TTATTCTATTCTATTCCATTCAACTCCATTATTCTATTCTATTCCATTCCACTCCATTATTATATTCTATATTTATTCTATTCTATTCCACTCCATTATTCTATTCTATTATTCTATTCTATATTCTATTTTATTCTATTCCATTCCACTCCATTATTCTATTCTATTCTGTATTCTATTCCATTCCACTCCATTTTTCTATTTTATCCTATTCTATTCTCTATTCCCTATTCTATTCTAATTCAATTCCCTATTCTATTCCTAATCTATTCTATTTTCATTCAATTCCCTATTCTATTCTACCTGACCTTTGGATGAAAGAGGACAGGGTCAAGTCCAAAGTTAAACTGGACTTCTCACAAAACTAACTAAACTTAAGTCCAATCCATCTATCCATCATCCCCCCATTCCAAGGAGTTAACTTCCCAATTCTGTCCTGTTAGATCTTAATTTTTAGAAAGGGCTTTGATGGCATCTCCGTTTTTGGAAAAGCCAAGCAGGCACCAAACATCCTCCATCCCGGTCACCACAAAGTTTTACACAGGTGGTCCTTGGCTTACGACCACTATCAAGCCCCCAAATTTCTCTTGCTGAGCGAGACGGTTGGTTAAGTAAGTTTTTGTTCCATTCGACAAATTTTCTTGCTACGGCCGTTCAGCGAATCGCTGCCCTTGTTAAATGAAATCTGGCTTCCCTCTTGTAAAATGGTCACAAAAAGGAATCACACGACCCCAGGACTCTGCAACCATCATAAATAGAGGTTTGCAAATATCTGAATTTTTTAAAAGTTTTTTATTTTGCATTTACAATAATTCCATCTTTCATTTCAAATCATGTGTCGACTGGGTATATACATCTTGTGATTACAATTATAATTAATCCTTTTCTTACCAATATAACAATAATCACATTTTCTTATAGCTATTATTTGATATATCTATTATTATTTAATAATCTTAACTTGTTTCTCTATATACTCATCTAATCCATTTTAATTTGTTTTATTTTCCAACCATTGATAAAATAAATCCCATACCATGGAATATTCCATTTCTTCTTTTTCTTTGATTACCAATATTAACCTATTCATCTCTGCACATTCAAATATTTTCTCAAATACTTTCCCCTCTATCGGTATCTTATCGCTTTTCCAATTTTGAGAAAATACAATTCTAGCTGCTGTAAATACATGTATAATTAAATGTTTTTTTTTTCTTTATTGTAACCTTCAGGTACCATTCCTAATAAAAATATTTCAGGTTTCAAATCTGTGTTGCTTTATCATTTTTTCCAACCATGTGGGTATTTTTGTCCAATATCTTTCAGCTTCTGTACAAGTCCACCACATATGGTAGTATGTTCCAGGTGTCCGGTGGCACTTCCAGTATTTGGCGGATTTATCTTTGAATATCTTAGCTCCGTGATGGAGAACCTATGGCATGCGTGCCACGAGTGGCACACAGAGTCATTTGTGCTGGCACGCGAGCCGCAGGCAAACTTACCTCACTGCACATGCACGCGCCTCACAGCTGATTTTTTTTTCCAGTTGGTTTGAGGCCTGTAATACCGGAAGTGACGATGAAACTGGCCTATAATCCAGCCTGAAAAGCCTTGCAGAGGCTTTTCCAAGCCTCTGGGAGGCCAAAAAAGGCCTCAAACCAACCTAAAAACTCAGCTGTGAGGTGTAGTGCAGGTAAGGGGGTGGCGGGAGGTGAGGGATTGCGCGTGCATGCACAGAGGGCGTGGGGAAGGGCACGCGCATTGCATTTTGGGTGCTGGCGTGCGAGTGTGTGCACGCTGGTGCGTGTGCAATTTTTGTCACAGGAGCCCAAAAAGATTAGCCACCACTGTCTTAGCTAATTTTGCCGGTGCAAGGTGCCATCTATAAAACATCTTGTACAAATTTTATTTATATGCTGTCAATATTGTTAATTTATAATTCCTGTCCCATAACCTCTGCCGTTTATCTAATTCTATAGCATATCCAAAGTATTTTGCCCATGCTATCATTGCCAAACATCTGAATTTTGATCACGCAACGACGTGAATGCTTCAACGGTCGTAAGTGTGAAAAACAGTCATAAGTCACTTGTTTCAGTGTTGTTTGTAACTCCAGTCACTAAACAAATGGTTTTAAGTCAAGGACTACCAATAGCGATAATTAAGGAGCTCCAGTTCTCTCTATTCTCCAAAAGAATCAGACTTCTAAACACAATCACTCAATGTACATATGGAAATGTGTGGGTATAATGCCAGAAGGCTATGATAAAGGGACTGTATATTTAATATTGTATGTATTGACAGCAGTCAGGATTGTATTTGCACAATATTGGAAAAATGACAACACTCCATCAGATGAGGATGTAATTCAGAAAATATTAAGACTGTGCAGAAATGGACAGGTTGACATTAAATATAAAGACACAGAATATTACCTAACATGGAATAGATTTTACGAATGGTTAGGGATAAGAGGTAGAAATTAGATAAAGATTAATGCTATGTATGAACTAAATATAAAGACAGTTTATAATTTTGAATATGCTAATATAATTAACAGAATTATCTTGCTTTTCTGCAATTAATATGCCCTGACAATACACTGTATTCAAAATGTTCATGAATAAAAAACATACTAAAAAAAAGAAACGTGTGACTAGTTTTTTCCCCGCCCAATTGCTTGTACAGGGATTATTCTCTAGACCAGGGGTGGGCAAACTACGGCCCGCGGGCCACATCCGGCCCGTTGGTCTGTCCAATCCGGCCCGCCCCTGAAAAAAATTCGCTGGTATTGCCCTGCACCGCGTCGCCCCCAAAGTGCGGAGAGCTCTCGGGGTAGGAAAGAAAAGAAGAACTTTGCAAAGGCCTCGGCTGGGAGTTCGAAATCACCTTCGAGTGCGACCTCTCCAAAGGTGAGTCCCCGCCGATCCCCCTTTTTTTTCCGGGGCTTCCAGGCTTAAACTTTGCAAAGGCAAAGTTTGCAGGCGGGAGCATCTTCCGGCCGAGGAGCGGGAAGGGTTCCGCCCGGTGGGCGGGCGGGCTGCTTGGAGCCACCTAAAGCTAGGCCGCTGCTAGTGGAGCCTTGCCCTGCCTTGGTGTCCCGTTTCCCGGCTCGGCGGTCCTGCTCGGGCGGCACTTTAAAAGCCTGCTCCCAGCACCCGAGCAACTTCCCAGCAACTTGCGGCTTCCTTTTTCCTCGCGGGCGCTTGCGCCTGGCCCCGAGCCGCGTGGCGGAAGGGAAACCCGGAGCACCGCCGGGTCGCCTCCTCCAAGCAGCCCACCCGCCCGCCCACCGGGCGGAACCCTTCCCACTCCTCGGCGGGAAGACGCTCCCGCCTGCAAACTTTGCCTGTGCAAAGTTTAAGCCTGGAAGCCCCGGAAACCCGAGCAACTTCCCAGCAACTTTCGGCTTCCTTTTAACTCGCGGGCGCTTGCGCCTGGCCCTGAGCCGCGTGGCGGAGGGGAAGCCCAGCGGGCGGGCGGGCTGCTTGGAGGAGGCGACCCGGCGGTGCTCCGGCAGCAGCAACAGGCAGTTCTGCCCGGGCTCCGCTCAGGTGTCCGGCTGGGGCTGTCAGGAGTTGCTACCGCAGGCGCAGCTCCGCGCGGCTCCAGTCCCGCGTTGCCTTGGGAAGGAAAAGGCAAAACCAGGAGCCACTGAGCCTGAGCCTCCGGTGCCACTGCTGACTCAGGGGGCCTCCGAGGGGAGGGGAAGGAGGAGAAGAGGGGAGGGGAAAGGATGGGGGGGCGATTCCCAAAAAATCTTGTGCTGACCCGGCCCATCTGTCAAATTTTAAAAGTCAATGCGGCCCCCGAGCCAAAAAGTTTGCCCACCCCTGCTCTAGACTATCCATGTCGTCTTGTATTTTCTGTTATGATTTTTCTTTTCTTTTCCCCAATTGCTTGTATAGGGATTATTCTCTAGACTATCCATGTTGTCTTGTATTTTCTGTTATGACTACTTTTCTTTTCCCCCCCAATTGCTTCTATAGGGATTATTCTCTAGACCAGGGGTCCCCAACCACCGGGCCGCGGACCGGTACCGGGCCGTGGAGCACTCTTTACCGGGCCGCAAAGAAAAAAAAATAAAAAAAAAATGGCGGCTTTCTTCGCCTTCGGTGAATGCTGCTGGGATCGGGGATCAAGGACACAAATGAAAGAAGGGGAGGGAGGAAGCAACCGAAGCCTGTCTTGCTCAGCTTTCTCAGTCGCTTTCTCGCTCCTCCTTCTTCCTCCAGGAAGAAACTGCTTCAAAGAAGCCGGGGGGGGG